GAGTGAACCCGTGCCCCGGACGGGCCGGCGCCAGGTCTGACGCTGCGGCTGGGATCGCTGCAGAAGCTGGGTTTGAGGCACGACACCGGGCTGAGGCTGAGTGCCCGGTGGATTCTAGCCTCTGCTTTCTGCCACGTAGCTGGTACCATCCGCCTGAGCCAGTTTCAGCTTTAACAACTTAAAATAGCTTAGCACACCTGAGTGGGGGACTGGTCTGGCTGGGGGAGGAAAAATGTAAAAAGAAGTTACTTTTCAGCTGGGTAAGTTCCTTCAGCCACACCAGCGAGCAGCTGTACAACAGCCGGGCCAGTGCAGCACAGAAGCGGGTGGTGGGGACTGAGGGGACACGGGAGTCCCTAGGCCAACTCCTCTGTCCCTGCAGGAAGAGAAGTGACAGTACTGGAGCAGCTCCTTAGCAAAGGCACAGCGGGACTCAGCAGGTAGAAGCCAAGGACAGCCAAATACAAACCAGACGCAAGAGAGGCCCTTTAGAAAAGAGAAACCGCAGCTCCACAACCCAGGGGGGTCAGGCAGCCTGCCAGGCCCCGTGTCCCTGCCTCCCACTGCTGCTGCACACCCACTCCGGCCAGATCAGCACAGCTTTGCCGTTGGTCCGGTCAGAGAACTCATCCAGGCTCCTTTTTATTTTTTCCTGATTATTTTTAACCTGGGCAGTTCCCCGATCTGGTTCCCAGCCTAGGCCACAAGGTTTTCCCGCACAGCTGAGGAACGGTGCTCCGTGTCACAGGAGTGACTTCGAGGGGCAGAAACTGTGCAGAAATGCTGCATCATTGCACCGTGCTTTGAGAAGGATTAAACACGGCGACAAACTGTCAAAGCAGGTGGCGGACTCTGTCCCAGGGACTTTCTGTGAAGCCCAAGAGCTTTTTTGTACTATGTACCAGCTCAGACGGACCTCATTGTTCTCTGTGCAGTGACAAGTGGCCGGAATCTCATACATAGTGTATGATCCATCAGCTTATATGAGCTCTTCTAGCTTGAATTTGCACAAACCCGATGACTGTAGTAATGAAATATTTCATATAAGTTGGCAGCCAGTGGGAATCCAGCTCTCAGGTGGATCGTATTTTTTTCCAGCTCTGTGTTCACCCTGCCAGCCTCTTAGCCTCTGCAGAACTGAAGCAGAGGAAGATTCATCTGGTGATGGGGGTTTTCTGTAACCAACTTACCTGAGATTTCTGGACCTGCATGGGCTAGATGTATTTTTTCCAGCACTAGTACAAAACTTTCCAAGATAACCGGGTTTCCCAGTGCTGGTACAAAGGCTGTGACCTACAAGATGTTCTCTGAACAAGTGCAGGTGAGGTGTTTCCAGGCAGCGGTGACTGTTTCTCTCTGGTGGGTACAGAGTTACAGGGAGCACGTTGGGAACGTTCTTTGGGAAATGTTACTAAGAAAACTAATAGAGTTTTTTAAAATGTAAATATATATAGATCAGGCGCACAAAACTGAATGTTGTTGACCTTCCACTGCTACTGTGTTTCACTGATACTATGCCAGACCCGGGCCTTGTTTTTCCTTTCTTATTCCACAGCTGTCAGAGTGTCCTACCACATGCATTTAGACTTAGAAACAGACCCAGTTAGGCAGAGCCCTTTTTCTTGCTAGAACCTTAAAATCTTACAGGACAGTTGATGAAATTTTACGATAATCAATTACAGAAATTATCATGTCTTAACTCATTTGTATTTGGGTTTCTGCTCTGAAGGCAATAGGTAGCTTATGCGCCTTACTATTAAAGACAGCAAAATTCAAACTCTGTCTTCTTTCAGGTAGCTTTGAAACTGGCACGGATGGCTGAGCTTGTTCAGAGGGAAAGCAGCAACTACCTGGCGAAAGTGGGAGAGGCTCCCGGAACGCGTGCACGGCTCTGAAGCAGGAGGTAGAGAACATTTATCTTTTCCGGCACACATCTCTTACAGGGGTGAAATATTCACGGTCTTAGAGACCTACAAAGGAAGACTTCTCGGAACCGCAGGGCTCCTGCACCCGGAGGGGTAGGAGCAGCCGTCACAGCACACTGGGTCGTACCAATGTGGCCCCTCAGCAGTTCTAGTCCTTTATTGTTGTGCTCTGCCTGAGTACCTTCAGCCCGCACAAAACTGAATTCTGTTCTTAATGGACGTTTCCAAACCTCATAGTGACACATTTTCTCGGAGTCGTCCCGTTTCCCGGTGTTTTCCATCCTGAGGGAACCACTCATGGTATTGTGAGTGATGGTGTAGTTACAGTTATTGTTATTTCAGCTATTCATAACGTTCGGTGGTGCACTTTCTTAATGGGGGTTGGTTAGTTCCCTCGTAGTTGCACATCCTGCCCACAACTGGCACTCGTGTTGATGTGCAGGCAGGAAGTTCCTCCTTCTGAAGCAATCATGGAGTGAGAAAGAGCTTGAGGGTTTGATGCTATTTTAAGAAGAGTTTCTCAGGCAGCTAAATTCAGTGAAAGAGATCTTTTCTGAGGTTTTTATTTCAGCTAACCGTTTACCAGTTTAGGTGTTGGTAGAACCATATAAAAATGCAGTACTTTACCAACAAGACAGACACAACTCAAGAACAACCTGCTAAGAGAGAGTAACGTACATTTTCATCAACATGAAAGCCAGCAGAGCATACAGGAGGTCTATTTCGTTGAACAGGAAACAGTCTGAGCTTCCATTATCAATGGATGAGAGTGTAAAAGAAAAAAAAAAAATTAAAATTGCTCATTACTGTAGAAAACTTGCTAATCCAGAGAGGCAGAATCTGCCCCGCAGTAGAAAAGTGAAAATGCAATGACTAATCACACCCTGAAGAGAAGCAGCATCTGTTGCCTTCCTGAAAAAGGTGTGATGTTGCTAATAATAGCAAGTTTTCTTCCCCAGCCCTGTTGACCCACGTGTGGTAATTCAGATTGGTTTGCTAGGAGATGGTCTTACTGGTGCACCAGGTTGGTAGCAGAGTGGATGAAGCAAAAAATACAAGAGAACCTTAGTTTCTCTGAGAAGCTCTAGAAGGGAATTCCGTGCAAGCAAAGATCAAGAGCAAGTGAGAACAGACTATGAGGAACATGAAAAAAGGGGATGAGAAGCGATCCACAGAACACAGGGGGAAAGGTGAGGTATTTAGAGCTACAAAGAGACACCTCTCTACAATATTTCGGGAGAAAATGCATGTAACAAGTAACACTGCTTCTTAATAGTTGCAAAAATGTAATTCAGCAAAAGTTTAACATCATTTTATTCAGGTAACAGGGGTTAAGGGAGAAAAGAACGAAACGCATTCTGGAGGTGGGAGTTTCCCATGTCTGTGAACACGCATCTTCACACGTTTATAATGCTTGTTGAATGCTCACACGTGTTTGTGTGCACGGGTGAAAGGTGCAGGGTCTTAACACCAACCCTTCTGTGATTTCAGATGAAGATGTTTTGCTATTAAAGCAGTTCGGTCACAGAGGGTTCCAACGGAAAACTGCACCGGGACAACATCACGGCAAGACGCCTGCAGGCTCAAGTTCTGCTTGACATGGCCATGTTCTACTAGACCTGCCATGACGGCATTTTTTCCCAGTGTTCCCAACTGGATTCAAGATGCAAAGCAGGAGGAGGAAGAGACAGGCTGGAAATTAGTCCCCAGACCAAGAGGTGAAGAGACCGAAAGTCAGGGAAAATGCCAATGTGAAATATCGGAGACCTCCTTCACTAATGTGGACAAGCTGAGAACTCACACACTTTCTCATACTGAGCAGAGACCGTACAACTGCCCTCAGCTTCACTGTGGCAAAGCCTTTGCTTCTAAGTACAAGCTATATAGGTAGGTAACTGCTGAGTGCCTCCGCCGAACAATGCTGCCCTACCAGAAGAGAGGGGAAAACCCCTCCATCGTGTTTTTTTGCTTGAATTTCTGAGAAGGTGGAGGAGGGGGAATGCCCTTGTTACCCTGCAAAGCAGTTGAGTGCCAGACGTTACCATACTTGGCATCTCTTTAAGCACCTTCCAGAGAACCTCAGCTAATATTTTATCCTGAGCACAAGCTGTTTTCTGTTTTACTAAGGAGGAAATTGAAGCAGAAAGTGAAGTTCACAGATTAAAAAACAAAATGAAAAGCAAGAATAGCATTCGCATTTCATAAGCCTTACCTCTAACTTTAATCACAGGAATATTTCTATGGCAGCTATTGTTGTAGCATGAAGAAGTAGAGTTCCTATTTACGTACTGAAATATAGCAGAGAATAATTAAATGCTATGATCACTAGGAACTTGAAACTAGGTGAACTACAGTGTCAGGGAGTGTAAGATACCGTGAAATCAGTCCACAGTGGCTGTCAACAGACATTGCCACAGTCTGATGCCTCCTGATGAAACGAAGCCGTCTCACCAGCAGACAAGCATTTCTTGTCATAGACTACCAAGGTTTTCTTTGTCATTTCCCCCTTTGATAGCCTCAACAGAGAGAACAGGAGCTGAGTAGACGACTGAAGTATACCTGTGCGGAGGGGATGCGTTCTAGGGAGGACGGGCACTGCTGAGACAGACTCTGTAACTGTTGCTTGAAATGTCGTGCTTCTGTGCCTGGAGAGTCCCTGCGGCTCAGGCTGTCGGGGCAGCATCTTTTAGTGGCGGTAAAATGCCATCTGGGATTTTTGTGGCATAAAGCGTAGAACGCAAGGAAAATTTTGAAAAAGTAGCGTGTGTTCTCTTAGGGGTTGGACGCTAGTCTAAACTTTCCTGCTTTTCTCCCAAAAGGCATATGGCCACGCACTCTGCTCAGAAGCCTCATCAGTGTATGTACTGCGAGAAGATGTTTCACCGGAAAGATCACCTTCGCAACCACCTCCAGACCCACGATCCCAACAAGGAGGCCCTCCACTGTCCTGAGTGTGGCAAGAACTACAACACGAAACTCGGCTTCAGGCGACATCTGGCCATGCACGCAGCTGCCAGTGGTGATCTCAGCTGCAAAGTATGCCTCCAGACGTTTGAAAGTACCCAAGTCCTGCTGGAGCACCTCAAAGCTCATTCTAGACGGGCTTCTGGTGGAGCGAAGGAAAAGAAGCATCCGTGTGACCACTGTGATAGGCGCTTCTACACCCGGAAAGATGTGCGAAGACACTTGGTAGTGCACACGGGGCGGAAGGACTTCTTGTGCCAGTACTGTGCTCAGAGGTTTGGGAGGAAGGATCATCTGACCAGGCACATGAAGAAAAGCCACTCCCAGGAACTGCTGAAGATTAAGACAGAGCCAGTTGACATGCTGGGTCTCCTAAGCTGCAGCTCATCTGTCGCAGTGAAAGAAGAGCTGAGTCCCGTCCTGTGTATGGCATCCAGAGACATGCTAGGTGGTAAGAGCTTCCCTGGCATGTTGCCTGTGGGCATGTACAGCACACATCTCCAAACCATGCCAAGCTCAGGGATGCCCCATTCTTTGGTTCCTAATTCTCTTCCAATGGGAATGAGCTATCCTCTGGAGTCTTCTTCTCCCATCTCCTCCCCACCGCAACCTCCTCCAAAGTATCAGCTTGGATCTACCTCATATTTGCCTGAGAAACTACCCAAAGTAGAGGTGGACAGCTTTTTGTCAGACTTCCCTGGCAGCCTGTCTCTCTCATCTGGTGAGCCTCAGTCCTCTTCGCCTCAGCCACCCCCCCTGGATGAGGCTTTGCTTTCCAAGAGCCCTGCTAACCTTTCAGAGGCTCTCTGTGCTGCTAACATGGACTTTTCTCATCTTCTTGGCTTCCTCCCCCTAAATCTTCCTCCTTGCAATCCACCTGTATCATCGGGGGGATTGGTCATGGGCTACTCACAGGGGGAGACACAGCCACTGCTTACCACTTTGCAACATCAACCTCAAGAATCTCCTGGAGCTGGGGCCTCGCTGAACTTTGGGCCCCTTCATTCATTGCCCCCTGTCTTCACCTCCAGCTTGAGCACAACCACGCTGCCACGTTTCCACCAGGCATTCCAATAAGCTGAAAAATAGCACTGGAGAACAGATCTTTCAGTCACCCTTTTGTGGAGAGCCTTAAAAACGCACAACTCTTACTTCCCTTTAGGGTGTGAAAGCTTTGCAAAGCTGTTTCAGACAGGAGGTTTCTGATCTCTGGAGGGAGCACTTGTAGACCGGAACAGCAGATATCCCCGTGCAAGTCCCAGTCCTGTACAGCGAAAAGATTTCAGCTAATAGACTGGATATATTTTATCTAATTTTTAATCTGTGAATCGGGAGCCGCGCTTAGCACTGACCTTCCCTGAGATCCCGGAGCTATGTTCTTCTTTGGGAAGGGACTGTCCCCGAGAAGGAGGTGAGACTCTTTCGTCTTGGGCTAAACTTTCAAAGAGTCCAGCTTCCATTTCATGTTGTCACACTGCAATTCTGGCAAAACAGCCAACACCTCCACACGGAGAAGGAGGAGAAGTCAGGATACCTGCTCTGTATGAAGCCAACGGGGAAGAGGCTGTCCTTCCCCACTACCTCTCATCCCATCACCTAATACAGCTTACTCCACCGCATACAGCTTACTCCAGTGTTAAGCAACAAGACCGTTTACGTAGTGAATTCAGAGATGTCACCTCATTCTTTGCGGAGCTGTTAGGTTAAACTCATCACAGCGAACATTGTTTACACAACACAAATCTGTTTTCTGCCATTACAAAAATAGGAGGCACCAGAATACACTGGTTTTATATCTGGTGTAGCTAGAACACTGTTTACACAACGAAGTCAGGTTGCACTGATTTCTCTTCACTTATCATGTTCTTCCCCCATGGGGAAATACACTGCTTTTTGGACCACTGTAGGCGTGCGTTTTGCCACTGTAGGCAGCAGCTTCCTGCGTTTTCTCTCTGGCTATCCACGTGTCAAGGGGATGGAGCAGCTCTCACAACTTAGCTTGTTTTTGTGGTGTATGGATAGAGCCCTTTTAAATATCTCCCACAGGCAAACAGATCGCGCATCTGTTCTGGAAACCAAAGCATGTGAAAAAGCTAGGTTAGGAGCTCGGGGCTGGCAGCGTCGAGTACTGTCGTACCAGGCATGGATGAGCTCAGGCTGCAGGCGCCCGGCTCCGTAGGTTCCCTTGAGATGAGGAACAGAGTACGAGTTTCTAGGTGGGGTTTTTTTTTTTTTTACCACAACAGTTCAGTGAGGTCAGTGCCCTTTTGGCTTATCCATGAAGCAGTCTCAAGAGATTATTTTTACCTCTGTCCTAGGGTGATAACATCCAGGAATCAGGAGGAAATATTGGTCCCAGCTTCATGTATACTCTATTGGTGTATTTGAAGCATTTTCCCCAACACTAATAGTCCTAACGAACGCTGAGGGTTTGGCCCTGCCGTCACCCTTTCACTTAGCATTTGGTTCCACTGGCCTTTTTGTTCTCTCCTTCTCGAGCCTTGTCTCCTGAAGTTAAAGTCCTGCTTCCCCTGCTCCCTGCCTCGCCTCTTAAATTCTTCCATGGACTGTGTACCTACTGAGGGCAGAAGGGTTACACTGAAGTGGCAGCCAGCTGCTGATGTCATTTAGCATCTGTATCATCTCCTGCTCTCATTTTCCTGGGCCCTTGCACTGCAAATGGTAACACATGGAGGTCGATCTCACTATACGTTGGTGCATGTTTATGAATATAGACACGCAGATCTTCATACCTCGGCATGGAGGAACCATTGTAGGCCAATATAAACCAGGAAATCTGTCAATATTGTTCTCCGTAAATCTAGAAAATGCAAAATCTACCTCTACTCTGTTATCTCAGCTCCTTCAGCGAAGCCAGATGCTGTCCTCCCTCGTCTCCCCAGAGCACATCCATTTCAGTCCGTGCATATTACTTTCTGCCGAGCCATTGATCCCACAGCGTGACATTAGCCGTGCCTCGTTTGTTCATAGGCTTGCCCCCCTTCCATTTTACTCAAGAATTTTATTTTTAATTTAGTTTAGTAATTCTTCCCAGAATGACTGTTTAGTGATCCATTGATTCTTCAAAACATAGATCAGTTGTTTTAGGTTAGCCAGCAACGCTGCAAATAATACTTTTGTATCAAAATGTAATATAAGATTTATTTACCTCAGCAATATCCTGTGGCCATGATCTCCCCGAGTTAAATGCAGTACTTCCTTTTCTCCACTGTAAAACGTTGCCTTTCGAAGTTCAACGAGTGCCTTCTTGTTCTCTAACATAGAAAAGGTAAATAGGGCATTTCAGCTAGTCTTCTATTTACCGTCATTGAATACCTCAGGCCTGTCTTCTATTGCTTTTCTCTTTGCAAATTAAAGAGTTTCACACTGTTACCAAGTATATGCAAGCCTTATCCCTGTCTTCAGTTGAGAGGATTTTTTTTTTAAAGAAATAAATAGTCAGAACTGATTACTTACTGCAAGTGAGGATTATCAGATTTATGCAATGCCATCACGCACCACCTTCCGTTTCAGAACATTCAGCTTTCTTGCTTTTTGCCTGCATTGTACTCTGAACAGATGTCATCACTGGAACTCCTTTAGCAGTGGTAGCTAAACTTAGAGCCAGGCATCTTTTTCCTACCAGTAGTCTGTCAAAGAATAAATGGAATTCATTTTGCTATTATTTGCACGTGTGATTTGCTTTCCCCAGCTATTCTAACAAGCAGAATTGCAATAACGTTTGTCAGTGAAAGGGAAGTTTGAACCCGCAAAGGGAGCGTGTTCAGAGACGGCACGCTGGAGCCGATGCCAGGTATTGGCACTGGAAAATGGATTCGAAGTTCCCGTGCCACAACAGAGCTTATAACCTGCAAGTATTTTGTCAGCCAGTCTTAAAACCAATGAGGCTACTGCCATTTGAAATACTAAGTACGCAATTCACAAAACGAATTATTTCCTGAAGCTAGTTAGCGAGCAGCTTTTACCTGTTCATAAGACAAAACCTTTGAGCATCTAGGCTACGCCAGTTGGGAATCTAAGTTCATGAGGAAGTATGTACCGAGCTGTTACGAAAAACCAGTAGAAGTCAGCTTAGACAAGCTCCCGCTAATGCAACTGTAGGTAAAACACAACAGCAAAGTTGTCACGCTGCGAGGACGGTAGCTGCGGCACAGCCTGGAAAACCGTTCTGTTGTTCACGTGCAGGACGTTTGTGCACAAGGGAGTGGCAGCCGTTACGCTAGTTAGGTGATACATAAAAAAAAAAGTTTCATCCCAGAAAGGTTTCTTGGTTTTTTGTTTTAAACCAAGGTTTAGGGACGTTTAAGTCAACATGCTGCTTTCTCTCCCAAGATCGTTATTAACGTAGGGAATGGGAGACTGCAGGGAAGGACGGTGAATATGAAACAGACCCATGGCATCGGTGTCCGTGAACACGGGACCGAGCATTACAGTTACATACAGGCATTCTTTGGCCGATCACCAAGGACCACGCGTTAGGGGCTCCAGGTACAGGAGACCGCTGCGAGTCAGCCAGGACAAATACAAATTAAACCATCTTGGGAGGCACAAAATGCTTTTGATGGAAGAGAGGAGTTTTTAAAGCAGTGTTTTCAAAGAGGTTCAGTGAATACAGGAGCTAGGCTGGACTTCACACCGAGATAGGGCAGCGGAGAAGCGCTGAGATTTGAGTCAGTAAGCACCAGCTGTATGAGAGCAAGATGGCTCGGAGGATGAACCAGTCGGAACTGATGAAACTCGCCTGTAATAAACGTTATGCCAGTAGAAGTCTCACACTTTTATCCCACGAACAGAGTACAAGGCAGCCATTAAAGATGTAGAGCATTTTAAGTGCTAAATGAAGGACTTCTTCAGTGGGGGAGCCCTGTGAACCACCCCGTTATGATGTCTTTATTCCAGGCACATCTGTATCGGAAAGGTGGCATCAGATTGAGCCCAAGAGGAGCAACTGCAGCAGATAATTGGTCAGAAGGGTTTAATTAAGTAAATAAATGTTTTAAAGTGTGGCTGACTTGGGGAGGGTTCAAGACCAATAGGAACAGTGCAGACAACGAAGATATAAAATCATAGAGCACAAGTCTGTGAAAGGACAGGACACGAACACGCCAGCGATTATAAATCAGACCCTAGATTGTCAAAAGGGCGAGGACATAATGTCCCGCTAGAAATAAGAATGATTCCAGCTCACTCGTTAGAAAATACATTTCCATGGCATTTCCATGGCAGCAGAGGGTTAACTCACCTAGCCAGTCCTTCCCAGGCTCAGATTTCTAGAGCTGTGTGAAAGTCTGAAGGTCTTGTTCCCCATGGGATTACAGCTCGCTCAAAACCCATTTGTGTGAAGGAACAACATGTTAACTTGCATTTGCTTCCACTGAATTTCACTTGGCAGAATATCCACGTACAGCGTTTTGACAGACCCTGTTCAGCTGTCTCACAGTAGTGCCTGCTCTTTAGCCTCTGTGTTGAAAAATGTTGTCACTTCAATGGGAATCCCTTTTTTCCCTCCGGTAGATGGATGATTTCAGTACTTTTGTTGGGAGCTCAGCTCTTTGTTCTTTAATTCCTTCCTTGCTGACAGGTGAATAGCAGCTGCTTGGAAGATTTCCTGCAGTTCACTGAAAAATCCCCATTTCCTTTCTCTACCAGTGCATCACCTTTGCTATCTGGAAAGAATAACCCCGCAGAGGCATTTTCTACTGCCTGCAATTAAAATTCTTACAAAGAAATCTTCAAAGATGCTCTCCCCATCACCCTACCTTCTTGCTTATCCTCTCTAATCCTGGTTACTCGGGCTCACTGAATTCTCCCTCGGGTGCCTATTTTTAGTTAATTGCCTGCCCAAGCCCTGTAGATATTCTGCCACCGAAGAGTGAAGTGGATGAATGGCTCGAAGAGAACCACTTCATTAAAACTTCACGGGTTTCCATCTTTATCCAAAATTTACTTCTTTTTCATAACTTACGTCTTGTGTTTTTCCCAATTCTCGGAGATGGGAAATCTGAAGCTCTGAATACAATCCTGCCCGACACCCGCCTGGTTGGAGAAGGCAGTTTGGTTTGGCCTGGTCTGCTGGACCAGGACTCGGGAAACCTGGACTCTGTTTTCACCCCTTTTGCTGACCCTGGTGCCTCTCAACCTTTCTGTGCCCAGCAGGCCACAGCGATTCCAAGCCTCCCTTGCAGAGCAGCTGAAACCTGCCCGGGGAAACACGCCGTTACTACTGACACAGCTCCCTCACGGGACTGCTGTTTCCCGTTCCTCACCTGTCTGCCCTACCACCACCACGGCCCCGGTGTCAGTAGACTCCTCTCGGGTTCCGCTGTCCCTGCCGCACAATCGATGCGCACTCGCATCGGGCTCACCTCCATGCTGTTCTCCCCACCCCGGGATGTACTCACTTCATTCCGGTGAATAACCGGGATCCTTCAGGAATCCTTCCGCCTGTTTCAGGCATTCTGTAGCTCCAGGTAAGGCGTTTTCTCCCAGAGCGCTTCCTCAGCAGGCTCCCGTGTGATCTGCACCCGGAGCCATCTCCACACGGTTACACAGACCACTCGCCACCAAATGCTTCAGACTGCCACAGAAACGGGTCAAGCAAAAATTGAACTGG